TTCAGGAATGGAATAATCAGTCGCACCTTTGATCACGAGTCTTCTGTCGTTCAACATCTTGATGGACTTACCTGCATCCCTGTGAGCACGCTCAAGAGAATCCTTTTGGGCTTCAAGTTCAGTATGAAGGCGAGCAATAGCTGTGTCCCTGTCGTTGAGCTCATTGTGCAAACTGTCAAACAAGGCACTCGTCACATTCGGATTGTTGCTCATGTGATCGATCATGTTCAGAGCATCTTGATACTTCTTACCAGTTTCATCAAAGTTTCGCTGGAAGACTTTGAGCAGGTCCTCAGTGTCACTGAGTTCAGATTTGTTCTGCAAGTACAACTTGTCAACTTCAGCCTTGGATTCCTTCAAGCTGTCACGCTCACGCACGGCTTGCATGTACATCTCGTATAGAGGTCCTCCATGCGGTGATCTGCTTGGTGAAGATCTTCTGGCTTGTTGACAAGAAAGTTCATGATATTGATTCTTCGATTCAGTCAGTTGTTGTTGCATTCGATCTAAAAGACTTTGTTTCATGTGTAGTTCAGAGCGTAGTCCCATTAACCTCATGTCCCGCATGCCGCCTGATTCAGCTAGAGATTCTTCAGAAATCTTGTTCTCAGAAATCGCTAGTCGAGATTGTAAGTTCTCACTGTGGATCACCTGCAATCGAAGCTGTGATTCTTCCAAAGCTAAGTGATGTTCACATTCTGCATAACGGTCATGTTCAGATCTTATGTTACTACGGAACTCCTTCATGATCTCGTCCCTCTTCATGTCAGCAGCATCTAACTCAGTTTCCAGTCGTCTGACGTTCATAGCCATGGTGTGCTTCATCGTCTGGTTCTGATTGGCAACCTCGAGCATCTCGATCTGTAAGGCACATGTTTGGTCGTTGGCGTAGCCGACTGCTAGAGCTTCTTGCTTTGCATTCATCTCTGCGTTCTCCAGTTCCAGTCTGAGTTGATTGATATGAGCATTCGCATCAGCGCCCACATGTACCATAATTGCGTTCGCTTGTCCCATTTGTTCATCAAATTCCGAACGTAGTCGTGAATATTTGAATTCCAAATGAGATGCAGCTTCATTCGACATAGTCTGATACCTTTCCAACTCTTCGATTCTGTAGGTCGCACCTTCATCTTCCTGTTGTGCAGCCTGTAACTCGAAGTTCAGCATCTGGAGTTGTTCGGTCATCGACATCATCTCTTGATGAGTGGTACTTTCCAGGAAATTAAATTGTTGATAGGCGTATGCTGTCGTCTCGCTCAGTCTTGCCTGAAGTACAGATTCTTCTTCAGTGGCCCTTTCCAGTGATGTCTTGTATTCAGATAATTCACTCTGATAGGCAGTGAAGATGTCGCTACCACTTGACGGGGCGTTCACTTGCTGATAAGATCCTGTCCCTGATGGAGTAGCGTCCTGAATCGGTGAAGGCGGATTCGACGACGTAGTCTTTGCCTTAGTCCTTGGAGTCATCGGAGGCGACAATTGTCGTGCAGATGATCTTCTCTTTCCAGGTGTGCTGTCCCTATCTTCAATTGCTTGCATTGTCGAAATTTGTCTCCCTCTAGGAGCAACCAGATGTCGCCTGGGTTGGCTTGTTCTCAATTCTGAGGCATCGCTTCCACCAGTGTCAATACTCTGTGAAGAATTTGACTGCGTGCCGGCAGCTGGTGCAACGGCATGTCCAGAGAAAGAAAAAGCGTTATCACTGCTATCCTGTTCAGTCATCTGTAGGGCCCGCAGCTACCCGCTCGTAGGCTCCGTAGGAGTCCTACGGCTGATAACCTGTGAATCGGAGGTTATCACCCCGATTATGTGCTGTTGTCTGATCTTGAGGTTGATGTTCTCAACAACGACGTCACGGGGATTGCAGTTTCAGCATGGCGGTATTTTTCTCTTGGCACCTGCAGTGATCTTGAGCCAAAGGTGCAGTTTGATGCGACCTTTGGTTGTGGACAATCTGGAGTTGAAATATATAAGTATTTGTGATAGTCTGTAATCTACACTCCATTCGCACAGATAGATAGATAGACAGACAGATTAGATAGATAGATAGATAGATAGATAGATAGATAGATAGATAGATAGATAGATAGATAGATAGATAGATAGATAGATAGATAGATAGATAGATAGATAGAGATAGATAGAGATAGATAGAGATAGATAGAGATAGATAGAGATAGATAGAGATAGATAGAGATAGATAGAGATAGATAGAGATAGATAGAGATAGATAGAGATAGATAGAGATAGATAGAGATAGATAGAGATAGATAGAGATAGATAGAGATAGATAGAGATAGATAGAGATAGATAGAGATAGATAGAGATAGATAGAGATAGATAGAGATAGATAGAGATAGATAGAGATAGATAGAGATAGATAGAGATAGATAGAGATAGATAGATAGATAGATAGATAGATAGATAGATAGATAGATAGATAGATAGATAGAGATAGATAGAGATAGATAGAGATAGATAGAGATAGATAGAGATAGATAGAGATAGATAGAGATCGCTCGAGATAGATAGAGATAGATAGAGAAGATTTAGAGATAGATAGAGATAGATAGAGATAGATAGAGATAGATAGAGTAGATAGAGATAGATAGAGATAGATAGAGATAGATAGAGATAGATAGATAGATAGATAGATAGAGATAGATAGAGATAGATAGAGATAGATAGAGATAGATAGAGATAGATAGAGATAGATAGAGATAGATAGAGATAGATAGAGATAGATAGAGATAGATAGAGATAGATAGAGATAGATAGAGAGATAGATAGAGATAGATAGAGATAGATAGAGATAGATAGAGATAGATAGAGATAGATAGAGATAGATAGAGATAGATAGAGATAGATAGAGATAGATAGAGATAGATAGAGATAGATAGAGATAGATAGAGATAGATAGAGATAGAGAGATAGAGATAGAGATAGAGATAGATAGAGATAGATAGAGATAGATAGAGATAGATAGAGATAGATAGAGATAGATAGAGATAGATAGAGATAGATAGAGAGATAGATAGAGATAGAGAGATAGCTAGAGATAGGTAGAGATAGAGAGATATAGAGATAGATAGAGATAGATAGATAGATAGAGATAGATAGAGATAGATAGAGATAGATAGAGGATAGATAGATAGCTAGATTAGAGATAGATAGAGATAGAGAGATAGATAGAGAGATTTAGAGATAGATAGAGATAGATAGAGATAGATAGAGATAGATAGAGATAGATAGAGATAGATAGAGATAGATAGAGATAGATAGATAGATAGATAGATAGATAGATAGATAGATAGAGATAGATAGATAGATAGATAGATAGATATAGATAGATAGATATAGATAGATAGATATAGATAGATAGATATAGATAGATAGATAGATAGATAGATACATCGATAGATAGATAGATAGGTAGATAGATAGATAATTAGATAGATGGATGGATGGATGGATGGATGGATCTATGGATAGATGGATAGATGGATAGATGGATAGATGGATGGATGGATAGATGGATGGATGGATAGATGGATGGATGGATGGACGGATGGATGGATAGATGGATCGATAGATAGATAGATAGTCAGATAATCAGATAGATTTAGAGATATAGTTATAGAGATCTAGTTATAGAGATGTAGATATAGGATTTAGATATCCAACAATTCCACGATTTCATGACCTGAAGCCATTGATTTTTACCTGGCCTCGGCTCGAGGCACTGCCGCCACCGCCAGGATTCATCCCAGCCAAAGAGCTGGACCGCTTCACCTGGCTGTGCGTGTCTATCCATCACCATATTTCATTTATTTGCATATGTGTGTGCACATATTTATTTACATATTTATTTCATTTATATATCTATATGTGTGTGTGATATGTATATGTATTAACATATATATATATATATGTGTGTGTGTCTGTGTACAGTTCATATCTCCATATGTACATATTGAGTGCAAACATGTACAAGTCACACAAAAAAGAAGGACTTCATCATGTCATTTCTTTGCGCAAGTCTCCGACTTGAAAAATTCGGCCGAAGTATCCTGTGTAAGCAGCGGATGAACCATTCCACCAATTTCCCCCTAACATGGCATCCGGTTTCACCGACACTCTTGCGATTCCCCAACACCAGGTCCACATCGATCCCTAAATCGAAGGAAAAACTCTCAAGGCCGAGAACTGTGCTTTTGCTTCCACAAATCTATGGCATCAAATTGGACCTTTTGACCATTTTTGACCCATGAATTCGAGACATCTCCAGCACCTTGCGACAGCCAAATGATGGTCGCTGCATTGAACGAAGGGCCCCGTCGCAAAGCCGCTTTCTCCGCAGCGATCTGGAGAGCCAAAGGGAACTGTGATCGTCCCTGCTAGGAGAACAACGACGGTCTTGTTTAAACTAGTACTACTTTCCACTATGGCACCAACCGACAGCTTCAAAGCAAGGCGGTGAGAAATTTCTGAGTGTTGACCCCGCACTACTTCTAGCAAAATTATCAGTAGCGGCGCAACGGAAAGACAGCTGCCCTTGCCTCATAGCAGCTGCCAGGGCCAATTAAGGACTGCAGCGCAGCGCAAGAAACATCTTGCCATTCTATGGCTAAAGCGTGCTAAAGCAATTTGAAACATGACATGCGTTGACATACAGTGCGAAACTAACCTTTCAAACTCAGTGGCATGGCAGTCAAGCTCTGAAATATCAGCCTTCAGCGGTCCTATCCACAGTATTTCTTCAACTTCCTCCTGGTGCAGGGGGTTCTTCGACTTGGGGTATCCAAACTGTTGAGCATTAAAACTTGACATCAGTTAGAAATACTTATGACATAACTTATGTGTAAATTTGTTGAAATATTGATGCTCAGAAGGCTCCACAGTGTCAGCATCGGGATCATCTTCAAACTCAGTATTGAAACCGAGCATTTGATGCCCACTGCAGCTCTGTGGCATGTCACACGTGTCACACCTGTCACCAGCTATGTCACCTCAAAGGGTTCCGGGTCGTCCAGTTGAAGCTTCAACACGCTGCAGCCTTGGACCGTCACCTCAGCTGGACAGCTTGCACGAAGCACAGCGGCTGGTGAAAACTGAGGAGGTGGCGGGTAAGTATCCTCGGCACAGCGGCATAGGAAACAGCTGTCGGACGTGACCACAAATGAATTTGCTCACTTTTTCATACAGATCGAAAGGTAGATCGATAGACAGATAGGTTGGTAGGTGCACAGGTAAGATTAGACTGGAATGGATTAGATTCGATTAGACTAGATTGGATTGGATTATGTTAGATCGGATCAGATTAGATTAGACTGGAGTAGAGTAGAGTAAAGTGGACGACATATTAGTTATATTGGATTGACAAATAGATCGGTAGATCTAGGTACACAGGTAGATCGGTAGATAGGTAGATTAAGACAAAGACTTTTGATCAAGATTAGAGAAGAGAAGAACGGAGAAGAGAAGATAGAAATGATAGATGTAGATATACACCTTTGACCTACAATATGATTCATATGGTCCACATATGTGATACCCCTGTGATACCACAACCGTTGTGCGTTTCCAACACGTCCAGGCGTCGTCCAGTTTTCACCTTGAGCCACGTCTGCGTGTCGTTGAGAACGCCCCAAACGCAGCGGCCCCAGGCCACTGGCTTCAGTGCCTGGCCGGTTTTGTCAAGATTTGGGGCTGCGGTTGGGCTTAGTTTACCCTCAGTTGGGATCTCCTGATATATCATATTTTTGAATATGAGATATCCGCCGACCCCTGCCTAGCTTTGGCCTAGGTGGGGCGGCGCCTGGGATCACCGCAGGTGTGCGGCATTGCTGCGCGCAGGCCTTTCCATTTACTTTGCTTCTCTTCGCCGGTCCAAGCTGGTAGGTTCCACTAGGGCCTCCTTGCGCCGCCTCCTGGGCTCCAACCTGCTGGGGGCTACTAGGGCCTCCTTGCCGCACGTTCTTCAGCCTTAAGCCTCCCAAGCCAACGTTCTCAAGCCTTCCAAGCTGCTAGGTTCTACTCCAAGCTTCCCGGTCATATCTATTAAAAATGTCGAAACTGCCGTTTGGCCCTTTTGGTTATACTAGAGCCAACCGTTCCCCCCCCTACTGGGGCCCCCTTGCCCCATCTTCTTCCAAGCTGCTAGGTTGTACTAGTCTCCTTTCCTCGCCTTCTCAAGCATCCAAGCTGCTAGGTTCTTCAGTGCCCCACCTTCTGAAGCCTCCCAAGCCAACGTTCTCAAGCCTTCCGAGTTGCTAGGTTCTACTCCAAGCTGCCCGGTCATGTCTCTATTAAGACTTTCGAATTCCCCGCCTTCTCAAGTGTCCAAGCTGCTAGGTTCTTCGTTGCCCCATCGTCTGAAGCCTCCCAAGCCCACTTTCTCAAGCCTTCAAAGCTGCTAGGTTCTACTCCAAGCTGCCCGGTCATGTCTCTATAAAGGGATTCAAAACTGCCGTTTGGCAATTTTGGTTCTACAAGGGCCTCCTTGCCCCACTCCAGCCTTCCAATCTGCCCGGTTATGTATGTATTTATTCGTCACTGATGACGGCATTGAAGCTGCTCACTCAGCCTCAACGATGGTCGGATTGCATTGAACCCGACGGCTGCATGCAGTAAAACTAAATCCAAGACTTGCCCTTTAACAGGGGGTCGGCGGCACCCGGGCGTTAGCCCTTTTATAAATATGATATATAATATGATCTATAAATATGAAACATAAATATGGTCTAATATGATATGGGACCCCCATAACTATCCAGAACTATGGTTATATTATATAACCTCTTATACGTAGAACATGCTGGATATGTACCCACCTACGTATCGGGGATGGAATTCCTTCCATTCAATGGGTGTCTTCATGAGGAAAGCTGCTGGCGACATGAGGCGCAAATGGCCTGTTTGATTCAGAGAGTATTTTCGCAATACCATGCTGCATTGTCTCAAAAGTGCCACGTACTGCAGAAGATCTCCTTTTGCTCAATTCCAGCATATCCAGGTTTAAGACTGCTTCAGCCTTTCAACACTGATGTGAACTTTTTGCAGCCACTGCCTTCTTAAAACATCTCTATCACCCACAAAGTAAACGTGGGAAACTCCCGGCAGTTCAGGAATTATTGGTCCTGAATTGGTCAATAGGATTAGATAGGTCAACATAGGTCAACATCTCCAAATGTCTCAAAGGTCCACAGATTTCCATTTGGGCACCCGATTCTTGTCGCCATCCGGGGAAAAGCGGTAGCGCAGCCCAGAGCTGTCCGATCGCAGGAGACCTCACTGCAATATCTGTCAAGGGATGGATATCGGCTCATTCGGAACTATCGGTTCATATCTGTCGGAGGATGATTCATTGGCTCTTGGGGACTGTTGTGCCAAGGAACTGTTGTCCACCAGGAAACGTTGAGGGCCCGTGGCCACAGCTCCCTGGAACGAGAAATACCGCAAGCCTACTCTGCTCCCAAGGAAATTGTAGACAATAATGGGATAACAATGAGATAATGATAGGATAACAATACAAACAATGGGATAGATTAATGATAATAGTAATGAGATGTCAAACTATCAGAATGAAGTTAATGTTCAGAAGAACTACACCCGAGTTTCAAATCCAAATGCTATAGAATTTCTGAAGGATCAAGGCCATCAAGTGTTCTTCAGTCGCTTGGAAATAAAACTCAGATTTGGGCAACGTTCTGTGGCTGTGTGGCGGAGCCCGCACTTCGCTGCTCAGCGGCCCATTCAGAGAAGCGCGGCATGAGAAATGTCGAATCTCAGTGTATTTCAATGCAGTTCATCTTTTTCCGCAAAGCTTCTAAATCTTGGCATTCATGTGACATCTAACCATAGGAGAGATGGAAGGACTTCTGTTGATCTCTGTCCGTTCATGAAACCTACAGCCCGGAAACTGCGGCCAGTTGCAGATGGAGCCAGCATACACAGTTCAACTCCTAAAAAGTACATCTCAAAGAATCTGAGATTCTGATTAAAAGGAAAATGGAAATGAATCAGCGTGGTTCCCCAAAAAGCCAAGATGTCTCAAAGCCACGATCAATATAATGAGGTGTCACGCGGTCCACTTTCCACAGAAACACCCAGTCTGGAGCTCAATGCTCATGGCGTGATCGGGATCCCCAAGGCAAACATCATGTTTTTGCAGCGGAGCTGGTCCAAAAGCTATTGGGACGCGACAAGCCATTTTGGTTACGCAAAACCCAACCAATATGCTTGGCAGATGGTTCAAGTTCCATGTGCCTTCCAGCACAAGCAACTATGACATGCAGAAGAAATAAGACAACAATGGAAACAATAAAACAAGGAACCCACTGAAGAAGATCGAGAAACGAAACAAGTAGAAAACAAGGTCTGAAGCGAGTATAATATATATATATGTGCAACACGTGTAGAAAATGAGCCCAAGAGCCCGAGTTGAATTTAGAAATGCGAGGCCGATATTTTTTTCGCAACGAGCACTGGTGGGTGAACCCAATGAACTTCAAAAAGCTGACCGCAGTTACTATTTAATTCCTGCATATTTTCTTGGTCTCAGGGTTGATCACAATGGGCAAAATGACATGGATCTCCCACCAGGCGTGAACTCCTCACATTGCTACTGTCAGAGCTGCTCCAAGAATTTCATCACAGAGCGTCGAAGCGGTTGCAGAATGTTTCCCTAGGAACGAATCCAAACGGTGCAGCATCAAATCTTGCAGGCGCTTGTTGAATGCCTCCACATTCTCGATCTTGCCCAAAACCAACTCCTGAACGGAAGCAAGGTGAACACTTAACTATCACTTAACTTATCTATACGTGTCTTATCATTGTCTTATCATTGTCTTATCTTGTCTTATTGCCTTGCCGTCCACGTTGACAGGGACTGGGACTCAACAGGTCTTCGCGTTTCAGCTCCCTTCCCCGCGCCTTGTCTGCCGGAAAGGACGCTTCTGCCTGTCGCACATCGGAGGACGCCAAGCGTCCAAGGCAAACGTCTCTGGAGGCTCCCGAGTGAATCTTCACCGCCTGGGCACGTGCATTGTTCAAACATGGCACGGCTCATTGATGAAATATATCTGATTCCGTGTGGGTTCTCAGGCGGTATTTGTTTACCATAGGTCCACAGGTAGTATCATAAGGTGGCTTCGGGACTGTTTCTGGAGAGGCCTTGTTGATATTTTGAAGGCCCCATAAGAATCCCGCACAAACCCCTGGACATTCTCAGCCAACCCCCGGGGCCCCCACAGGGCCCCACAAGAGCCCCACTGGAACCCCACTGGAACCCCACAACATTCATAAGGAGCTGCAGTCATTACCTGGAAACAATCCTTCTTGGACTCAAAATACCCAACCTTTTAGCCCTACTAATCCATACCCATCCCATGCCCAGGTTTGGGCTGCTGCTGCAAATGGCATTGTTCTTGTTCTGTTTGAAATACCATTACCAAATCCGCACTCAACCCCTATCAAATCGTGAGGTCCAAGATGATATGCAGCAACCCTTGCACCTGGGAGATGTGCAAATGATCCGCTTCAACCAATTCTGCAACGCACCAAACGCGCGTCAGGAGGGTAAAGTTCACATCCATCGCAACAACCTGCTCCAATCTCACCTGTTGGGGATGAGGAAAAAATGTGGACATAGAGTGAGATGGATCGTGTATCGCGCAAATGCTTGAGAAATCCATAAAATATCATGAAATCTAGTATGGGAGAAGCAGAAATTGGAGCTGCCACATGCACAAACTCTTGCCAAACAGAAATGCTGGATGATGTGGATGCCAACGATTCTCCCATGTATGGAAGAGCCACCATGGATCATTGAATTGATCATTGCATCATACATGCTGAAACTACTCTCGGATTCTTTCCATGACCATCTCCAAAGTCGCTAGGGTATCTGCCAGCCCCTCCCAGATGCCGCCGAGGTCGGCAACCGCTGAAACGCACTGCACAACCCTTTGGGGCCTCGGAATAGACTTCACGCAGTTGCCGCTTCAAATAATTCATCATGTCATCGAACTTGTTCATTTCCTTGGTCAACTGAGTCATGTCAGTTCCTCCCGGATTCCTCCCTAGAATTGACAAAACATGACCAAAATCCGTGCTCCTTTGTGTCCCCTCATTGTGTCTATTTTCACAGCAAGCGTGTACAGAGTGACCAACTCTTGGACCCCATTGGTGCCCCAGTGCTTCTTGTGGCTTTACTTTTTTAGACTCATTAGACATTAGAAAACAAAGTCCCGATGAAATCTCCCATCCACAAGAATACGGTGATTTTTTTGGGCCAAAGTGGTCTGGCTCAATGGATTTCAATTGCCCATTTGCCAAGTTTTGCCTGACCCAAAAAGGGCCGAGCGGCACTGAAATCGCCTTCAAAGTGCTTCTGCGTTTTGCAAGAACAGGTGGTGATGGGATGACCTGTCGAATCTGCCGTGGGTGCTCTGGCACAAATTCCTGCATGTTGGTTGACAGAAAAGGCACAGACCCAGTAAGGGACACTCAGTTGATTCCTCTCATCCAGCTGTTGGTGTAATCTGTCAAAGTCCTTGTTCTTCAGAAGAGTCACCACACCATCATATGTCTCTTCTTGCAGAGCATCTGCAAAGATGGCTCCAATCAAGTGAGTAAACTTGTTGCCCCAATTGTGTGTCACCATTTTGTACGCCAACATCGGGACGCCACGGTTCACAGCAGTTGCATAGGCAAAACCACGGCCGGCATAGCCTCTGGCGGGCTCTCCACCAGGCACATCGGGTAGCTTGAAATATGCTCGAGATGCAATCTCAAAGGGCTTCTTCGGAAGAATCTGGACAGAGGAGCTTTCATTCATGGCTTTGTGGAATGCTCCTGACCATGTCAGGATGTCAGGGGAATGCGCAATGGTTTAGTAAACCTGGGGAGCCTCTTTCAAATGCTATTCATGGAACTATCAACCTTCATGCTTCAGAGCCGTGAGCAAATTAAGCAAAGCCTGTCGACCTGTACAGAACCAAGTCAAAGGCCAGAGAAACTGCAGTCTGACTCAGGTCGGCAGCATATTCAGGTAGAAAGATGGGACTCCCAAAACAAGCGAACTCAACTTCTACAGGTTCAGCTTGATCATCCAAAGGCTTAAACACATTTTTCATCATCTATCTGTATCTGTGTTCTTTTTGGGAATGGATCAAAGTGGGGGACACCCAAAACCCACAACATTCCTTTCTAAAATGGTCCATGTTACTTCATTTTGAGGGTCCTCCTTGTTAACCCATCCCATATCTATTGCTGGATTTCCAAGCGCCTGCTGCCACACTCTGCGAGCCATGCGATGAGGCATGGCTAACGGTCTTAGCAACGGCCTCCGCGTCTTGGAGGTCTTCTAGGGAATGAATGCGGACAATGCGGACGTGAAGAGATGTCGCACCAAGTTGGATGTCTCCTTCAAAACCACTCTGGAAGCTGGAATTCGGCAAGACTGCTTCGCAGACTGTCTGTTCCAACTCTAGACTAATGCGGATCGCTTCTTGGTTGATATCTTGAAGGAGGAAAACTGCTTCCCAGGACGGCTCCTTTGGCCGAACTGAATCGCCACCCTTCCATGGCTTGGTGCAGGAACCATTCACGGCACGAACTGAGCAGATCGCTGTCTGCAACGGCTCAAAGTGCTCACATTGGACAACGATTTGATAGTGCCTGGAGCCTCTCATCTGCAAGGAGCCAGGGATCACGACTTGGCGCACAACATCATGAGTGGTCGACTGGTCTGGATCAAAATGTGACATCTGTTGCTCCAGGTCGGCATAGAAATCCAACAATTGCCTCACGGTGATGCCACGCTGTGCCAACTCCTTGACCTTGTTCTCCCAGGTCGTTGATACACCCGGCTCCAGAGACTCCAGGGACTCAGTACTTCCGGTACTTCCGAGATTCGAAGTCGAACTGGAGCGCAGACTCAAATCGAGGCCGAACTTCCTGGGAGGATCTGAGAGCAGCGCTGGTTGGGCGAAAGCAGTGACTTCCGACACCAGGCCTGAAAAAATGCAGGAAACCACCGGCACAATGATCAACTTTCGAAGCAATACCACGGTGAATGATAGCATCCATTTCCACTCATCAGCTTCACCCAGATTTGCTAGAAAGGCTGTTATCACCAGCACATGGAGGCAGGAAAGGCCAATAGCCACAGCCCAAAACTGAATATCCCACCAGAGTCGCTTGCGCAGCTGCCTCCGGCGATGAGCTCTGTCGCGTTGTTCAAAGTCTCTCCAGGCTAAGTGGAACAACAAACTGCGTGGGATGAAATTCAAGAGAATGGAGAAGAGTGTGACAAATGTGTACCATAGAAAGGTGCCTTGTTGGGCGGGGCAGTCTGCTGGGCTGCGGGCAGCCACTGCAGATCCATCCACCGAGAAGAAGATCGCAACGAACGCCAAAGAGCCTAGGATGCAGTCCATGAAGATTTTGCCTCGCTTGGCGGCAGTGACATGTAAATCACAGTGAAGCAAGGTGTAAGCAGGGTGAGCTGCTAAAAAGGTGGAGCACACTCGGTGAAGCCGCGAGCTGTGCATCAAAACAAAGGCCTCTGGTAGGTCTCCTTCCAGTCTCATGACCAAAGACTTGAGCACTGGCGACTTCTCCACAGCCAGACTGCCCTGCACCCAACCATTCCTCCCCCAAACATGCATTTCAAGAGATTCTATGTGTAGCTTGTGCTGCAGCGCCACATATCTCAAGGTATTTCGCCAGATACTGTCATCCTGAATTCTGCTGGAAATCGCTGGGTTCATCACCCTGTGCAGCTTCTTCTGGATCCGCGCCAAGTCTGCCTGGTGAAACCGCGCCAGGCTCGCCACACTCGGCTCGTGATGCAGGGCTGGAACGGTCGAAGCACTCGGTTTCTTCGGAGCCTCCGACGCATCGCTGCGCCTAGCGGTGCAGCTGCCACAGCTGCCACAGCTGCCACGCACCGGTGGCACCTCGGTCAGGAAGTACTCGTCCTTCCAGAGCCCGGAACGGCGCACCGACGCGTCAAGGAAGATGCCCGAAACGATCAGAGCCAGCAACAGAGCCATCGAAGGCCAAAGAAATAAGGCCGGGGGCCTTGACCACCAGCGAGGCTTCAGAATCTCTTGCAAGTTTTCCTCCGATAAGACATTGATGTTTGTGCAATCCAAAAGCCTTGGATGTCAGACACACTTTTGAAAATCAAGAAAAATTGACATCAAGCTCCAGAGAGTTCACTTGAGTGATGAAGTCGCCAAACAAATGCTGTTGGCCTATAGCCCAATTGATCATAATTTATAATGATTTGGCGTTTCCAGGGAGCCAGTCACTCCCTGGAGCCAGCCACTAGCTTGGAATTGGCAAAGGGCCTAGAATTCAGAACGTATGACGCAAGAATCAGCTTCCCAAACATGTCAGTGCTTTCATCTGATACTGAACTACTCCGAGCAACAAATCCAGGAAGCCAGCAAAGATGGAAAGATGATAAGAGACACACCATGCCCCTGAAGCCGACAGGTTGAATGCCTCCAACTCCTCCGCTGTCACCAGGCGCACTCCGTCAGTGGACCAGGTGTCACCATCTAAGTATGCGCATGTCCATCTGGTGGCGTCAAAAGGTTCAGTCAGAGGCCCCAGCTTCACATAGATGGGCCTAGTGGAGACTACTTTTTTCGCTTTCCAGTTGTCCAAACCGTAAACGTCGTAAATGGAGACATCCACCACTCCGGTCACTGGCTTCAACAAGGTGCGACTTGTACCTTGGAAAATGATGGCGTTCTGGTTCTCAGAAAAGGAGGTCGCCACCAACACCTCATCGTTCTGCAAAACCTGGCTGCGGAAAGAAAAGACTCTACTGGGGTGGGAGGTGACTCATGCGGTGGTAGGAGGCCTTTATAAGACTTGCCGTGGGACTGCAGGTTTCTGAGGCAAGTGGTTTGAGTGTGGTACAGCAACTTAGGTACACCGTCAACAAAAGATCAGATCCACAAACGAAAGGGCATGTGAGTTGCCAGCACATCACGCACTAAGCTGCATTACCCAGCGGTGGAAACATCCCACCCAAAGAAAATGGCACTGTTGTGTTCTCAAGTGGGGATGTCAGTGGCCCATGTATACAGTATACAGAGTATACAAAGTATACAGAGTATACAGATGTATACAGATGTATACAGATGTATACAGATGTATACAGATGTATACTATATACAGTACATTCACTTTGAGTGAGATCAAACCTTTGAGACTCCAAGTGCCAGCACAGTAAATAGGTCTAGCCTAGCAGGGCCCCGCTCGGTACTCAGGTTCTTGTTGCTGAAGTATACAATGCTGATCATTCTGATCAAAGGTTCGTGCTCCCAACCGAAGATGGTGTCCTCTGCACTACAGTACTGGGTCATTACCAAGGCCACCAAGCAGGAACTAAGGATTGGACAGTTTTGACACCTGCAAAAATTCAGACAGCATTCCCAATCTCATAAGCTCCTGAAAAATAATTCTGATCTGCCAGTCATTTCCAACCCTTCGGCCTCAAGAGGAAGCACTGTGCCGGATGTCTCATCAACCAACTGTACATACTCGCCATCAACGGAACTGTTCGGCTCCTGCAACCTGGCAAAGTTGGATGTCGCATCATCAATTGACCCAGCTGCAACCTCACCCCCTGGCCGCCCTGGCCCACCTCATTACTGACACCTTGCCAATGGATGTCTCACTGACAATACGGAGGATGTTTTGGCCTGTGCCGTTTGTGTCAGACAATTGGCCTCAGTCGCACATGGACATTGACCCAAGCTGATCTGGTGAAGTTGGATCTAGAAGGATGCAAAGGCACATTCTCTGATCCAATGATATAAATTTATATATTTCATATGAAAATGAAACAGAACTCACCATGGAGTGTTTGGCAACCATCGAAATCCAAAAGATCTGAGGCTTCAACGAAGCAGGGCCTCTGTGCTTTGCTCCAGCTGCCTCAATGTGTCGGCAAAGGATCCTGCCTGGCGAGGTTTCCGGGAATTGGGGTCCAGTGTTACCATCCAATACCAACCAAAGTTTGATCTTGTAACGAACCCGGTAGCATGCCATAGTCAGGAAATGTGACGATTCATGACGACGGACTATGGATCCGCAACATCTTCTGAACTCCTAGTTGAAAGCATCAAAGGTCTGCTGACGTCTCGCAGCACTTGTTGGTATTAAAGGAAGAAAGACGAAGTTCCCCAGAACGTGCACAAGCACTTATGCCCTAGAAGTTCCATTTCTGCGATGTTGGCATGGGTGCGGAGTTGCCCAATCTTTTGAAGCATGGCAGGTTACAAGCTAAGCAAAAATTCTAGGGTTCATTAGGGTTCTTGATTCTACTTAGGCAGGCGTACCCATCTAAGAAATGCAAGTGTCTGTTGAAAACATCAAAGTTCCGGCCTGTAACGAAAAAGGTCTCAGATCCCAAATCCCTGAAACGTTCGTATAGTAAAGTAACACAGAATTCATGGATGGAAGAAATTCTCAGTTTTGAGGATATCAGGACACCCCAGGTTGACAGCTGGTAGTTGGACCACTGCTTGTAGAGGGCCGTGCGCATTTTTCATTCTTTCATCTGGGGAGGCATGGGTTGGGGCAAGAACGTTCATGTTACGCTGCCTCTGTATGTGCTGCTACGTCACGCATGGGGTGGGGTTGGGGTGGGGTGGGGTGGGGAAATAACTTTCATGCTGCGCTGCTTATGTACGTGCAAACCATAGACCGTGTGTGGCTCAATCTCAAATCTTGGTTGCCTCCAAAACTGCGAGCAGTTGAGAAGAAGGTCGGCCTTCACTTTTTGAACAAAGGTGTCAATCGTATGATCCAACAGTGGATTTGGCGTCAAAGTGTTTTGCCTTGCTCCCCCAAAAAGATGATGACACACCTTGTGGGACTCTTGAAAAAACACCACGGATGAAAGGCTTCCTCCAAAAAAGGAAATAGTTTACGGCAATTCAAAAACAATAGAAAAAATTGCTTTCCCCAGTAGCAGTAAGGTTTGAAGTTGCTTTATCCAATGGCAGGGATGTTTCATTTGCCAAAAGCGCCAGTAAAAATTTTACGCAGTGGAATTGCGAAGAAAGAGACCGCAGCTCGCACCATCATGGTCATATTTTGTCACGGCCGGCTGTGAGCCGTGGACCTAGTTTGCTCTGCCACTGATTCCACAGTATCAAGTTAAATCCCACATGAGCACCAAGCGCTTGCTTGATCAAGCCCATTAGCACCATTCAATAACTTCTCCATCCTCGCCTTTGAAAGGGGATAGGAACAGATCCGAGCCTCCACAGAGCTTGTTGAAGTGCTTGAAGAGGTCCAAGACACTGTAGATGTCTGGCAAGCAGAAGTTGCAAACTCTTGCAGGGTGAAAACGTATATTTGACGTATTATATCACGTTTTTACACCAAACCAGGTGGTCACAGCCAGGTCGTGACAGTTTCTCGTTTCACAGTGGACCCCAAATTTTTGTGGAATTGCACGCCATGGGCATTCCGGAGGCCATGAAGCTGAATTTGGGTGTCCGGTGTTTCTATGAAGACCCATCGAGACAATGACAGCTAACATCAGCAAACCAAAGCAGATAAAGCAGGGACTTCCAAATGGTTTGATAGTGCTTTGTTCGCAAAGGAAACTACTAGTGGCGATGGCTACAAGTCGTTTTTGGTTGACATAGAACAGATTGAGGATTCAATGATCTACTAAGAAGATGCTTACTTGAATACTTGAGGCCCAGGGGGGGTGAACGAAAGCTAAAAGTCATATGAATGTGGAAAGAGGTGAGCTGAACTTGGAAGTTGTTTGAAGCTCTGGCGAGCTTGGAAAGTCTGAACCAAAGAAGATTGGTGCGCGACAAAGTTTGGGCCGCATCCAAAATTATAATTGTTGGTAGGGCTCAAATCTACACAGTGTTGACCTGAGTCAGAAAGAAGTCCATCGAGCCTAACGTTCTGGTGAGGCATCTTGCGCAAGAGTTCCATCCCAACAACATGTAATCTTCCGTTGCAAGTCGTAAAACATCTGAAAGAAGATGGTGACTCTATAAAGTTTGGGCCCCATCCAAAATTATAATTTTGGACGGGGCTCAAATCTACACAGTGTTGACCTGAGTCAGAAAGATCTCTATCGAGCCCAATGTTCTGGTGAGGCATCTTGCGCAAGAGTTCCATCCCAACAACATGTAATCTTCCGTTGCAAGTCGTAAAACATCTGAAAGAAGATGGTGACTCTATAAAGTTTGGGCCCCATCCAAAATTATAATTTTGGACGGGGCTCAAATCTACACAGTGTTGACCTGAGTCAGAAAGATCTCTATCGAGCCCAATGTTCTGGTGAGGCATCTTGCGCAAGAGTTCCATCCCAACAACATGTAATCTTCCGTTGCAAGTCGTAAAACATCTGAAAGAAGATGGTGACTCTATAAAGTTTGGGCCCCATCCAAAATTATAATTTTGGATGGGGCTCAAATCTACACAGTGTTGACCTGAGTCAGAAAGATCTCTATCGAGCCCAATGTTCTGGTGAGGCATCTTGCGCAAGAGTTCCATCCCAACAACATGTAATCTTCCGTTGCAAGTCGTAAAACATCTGAAAGAAGATGGTGACTCTATAAAGTTTGGGCCCCATCCAAAATTATAATTTTGGACGGGGCTCAAATCTACACAGTGTTGACCTGAGTCAGAAAGATCTCTATCGAGCCCAATGTTCTGGTGAGGCATCTTGCGCAAGAGTTCCATCCCAACAACATGTAATCTTCCGTTGCAAGTCGTAAAACATCTGAAAGAAGATGGTGACTCTATAAAGTTTGGGCCCCATCCAAAATTATAATTTTGGATGGGGCTCAAATCTACACAGTGTTGACCTGAGTCAGAAAGATCTCTATCGAGCCCAATGTTCTGGTTATTGATTGGGCTCAAATCTACACAGTGTTGACCTGAGTCAGAAAGAACTCTAATGTTCTGGCAGCACATAAACCCAACAAATCCTGAGCTAGAGAGTTCCAGAGGGACGGCCCTGGCACGATTTGAGCCCGTGACCATCTGCTTCCGAGACTGCTTCAAAATGCCCCGGGGGGGTCAAGTGAAAAATCACTGTGTTGGACTCAGACCTGCCCCTCCCCTTGCTGAAGCAAGAGTAACTCAGCTAGCTACCGCTAGCTTCCGTGATAAATGTATTCAAAGGTGTCGTTAATCTCATCTTTCTGAATCTTCAATAAGAAGGGTATGCCGCTATGCCTACCTCTTTGTAAAGCCGGGCTTCCCAGCCTCTGACATCGACGTTGAAAGACCGCTCAAAGTAGCCCTGCTGGTTGTGCCAAACTTGCTCGTACCACCGCTGGTCGTACCACTGCCGGAAGCAGTGCTCAATGTGCTCGACGTGCTGGATGTGCCTGCACTACTGCTCGAAGTAGATGTGCTGATCGTGCGGGACGTAGTTGTGAACGAAGTGCTGGATGTGCCTGTACTACTGCTCGAAGTGGATGTGCCTGTACTACTGCTCGAAGTAGATGTGCTGATCGTGCGGGACGTAGTTGTGAACGAAGTGCTGGATGTGCCTGTACTACTGCTCGAAGTAGAAGTAGATGTGCTGGTCGTGAAGGAAGTGCTGGATGTGCTTGTACTACTGCTCGAAGTAGAAGTAGATGTGCTGGTCGTGCGGGAAGTGCTGGATGTGCTTGTACTACTGCTCGAAGTAGAAGTAGATGTGCTGGTCGTGCGGGAAGTGCTGGATGTGCTTGTACTACTGCTCGAAGTAGAAGTAGATGTGCTGGTCGTGCTGGTTGTGGTTGTGAAGGAAGTGCTGGATGTGCTTGTTGTCGACGTCTGCACAAGGTCAAAAAAGACTGTGTGCAAAGGACACACACTGCTCAGGTCTTTCAAAAGGAGTATGCAGAATGATTTTTGACGGCTCCAAATCCTTTGGCCCAGAAATATTCAACGAGGAACAGTGGATCTTAATTCTATGTATCTCCGAGTAAAGCCTTTACACATTTTGGGCCGCATTCATGACAATGCTCCTTTCAAGTACCGAACAGCAATTTTCCTATCCAAGGTCTTTGTTTCATTCACGGGCACGATAGCCCTTGCAAAGAAAAGTTCTCTTTGGATGCTACGTGCAAACATTATTTGATTGTAAATCTGTTGTCTCACCACGTTGACAAGAACGTGCAAATGCATTCGAAAGTGTCTAGTATCTTATTTTTGCTGACTTCATGATGTGGATACAAACCCAACAATTGATGCGACGCTTCGGCCAAATCCTTTAGTCCTGAGGATATTAGAAACTTCTCTCAGAGACTTTCTCTTTTCCTGCGGACTTAAGTATTCCCAGCACACAAAGACATCCGTGATGTGAGGAACTCAAAACAAACCACCGGCGCCAAAACACGAGTAGCAATTGAATGAAGATATTTAAATGTGCATGTGCTGTTCAATTGCGGGGGAACTGATCAGCCAGGCAAAGAAAAAATGACTCATGGCCTTGCTGGAAGCTGTTTCTGTTTCTACAGTGCTTTTCCATCGGTGGATTTCCAACACTAGTGGTTTTGGACCACTCATGACCACTTGTCTGTGATAAATGACAAGCTTCGTGCCTTAGACCTTGAAGTGCTGCTGAGTGTAGTGGTGGTGGTGGTGATGCTGGATACGCTGGATGTTGTGAGTGTCAAGCTTGTGCTGGTGGTAGTGGTAGTTGTGGGCGTGAGTACCTGGTACATCAAGGAAATTCACCCTCTGATACCATGGCAAATTGGAGAAGTACTAGGCACCATGGGATTTTCGGTGCAAAGCGGGTAGTGAAGTCAATGCGTTTGCAACCCCTCAAGAGAATACCAGCAAAAAGTTCGCTTCCGTGAGAAAAGTCATTGGTGAAGAGAGACATTCCCACTGGGCCCTTGATCCATGGGATGGGTAACATTGTGACATCTTAACTTTCACCGGGAGTCCCTTTAGTATCAATTGGTATCCTTTGGTGCCCTGAGCTCGCCGTTGCTAAGACTCAATCGAGCCACCATCATGGCAAAGATATCCTCCCCTCCTGCATTGGAGCCAGTTATGGCCCCAGTCCTCAGACCGCCAAGAAGAATACAACCCTTCAGAATCATTGGACTTGTGGACCTATGGCAATGCGATCTTGCTTATCAACTTATTTGAAGTGGTCTTCACTAGAAAGGCAAAGCCGAGGAAAAACACTTTGAACGTTTTTTTTACCAAAAAAACAACTTGAAGTTGCGAGGTGGACCTCCCAATTGTGAAGGCCTGGAGAGTCTACATACTTCCACCATTGTGAATGTCCATGGGAGCCCCCAAGCATTAGAAAAGTGCAGGAGACCGAGACTTCACATCAAACTGTAGCATACAAAGTTTGTCATAGCAAGAAACGTCCACCCTGCAACCAGAATGTTGCCAGCTGCTCCGAGAGAAAGTTGAACCCCGCACTCCTCCCTGGCGCCTAGGAGAGTCTGCGTAAAGGTGCAGAGTTTTTCTAATTGCAAGTGCCCATTGGAAAGTGGAAGGAAGAGATATGGCATGAGACAGCCATGGCGCGTTCTTTTGAAGAAATATGTATATATGTATATGTATGTATGTATGTATGTATGTATGTATGTATGTATGTATGTATGTATGTATATATATATATATTTATATACATATGTATGTATGTATGTATGTATGTATGTATGTATGTATGTATGTATGTATGTATGTATGTATGTATGTATGTATGTATGTGTGTATGTGTGTATGTGTATATGTATATATGTATATATGTATATATGTATGTATGTATGTATGTATGCATGCATGTATGTATGTATGTATGTGTGTATGTGTGTATGTATGTATGTGTGTATGTATATATGTATGTATATATGTATGTATGTATGTATGTATGTATGTATGTATGTATGTATGTATGTATGTATGTATGTATGTATATGTATGTATGTGTGTATGTATGTGTGTATGTATGTGTGTATGTATGTGTGTATGTATGTGTGTATGTTTGTGTGTATGTATGTGTGTATGTATATCTGTATGTATGTATGTATGTATGTATGCATGCATGCATGCATGTATGTATGTATGTGTATGTGTATGTATATGTATATGTATATGTATATGTATATGTATATGTATGTATTTGTAAATAAATGTATGTAGATGTATGTATATATGTATGTATTTATGTATGTATATGTATGTATATGTATGTATTTGTGTATATATGTATGTATATGTATGTATATGTGTATGTATGTATATGTGTATGTATATGTTGTGTGTATATGTATGGTATGTGTATGTATGGTATGAATATGTATGGTATGCATATGTATGGTATGTATATGTATGGTGTGTATATGTATGGAATGTATGGTATGGTACGGTATGGTATGTATGTATGTATGTATGTATGCATGTTTGTATGTATATATTATATCATATATCCATTTGAAAGAAGATGGCCCACAGACCCATTGATAGAGGAAACACATTCAACTGTTCCCATCGCATGTAAAAGCCCAACTGTCCACATGCTTGAAAGCTCTTTCAGCTGCCGTCTTTTGCTCATCATCTCAATGAAGCGCTGGAATGCTGCCAAGAATCTAGTGCCGAGTTGGCTCACCCACTCCTGATTGCCAGTAGCATCAAGCTTCAGCAAAGCCACATCCTGGTCGCCAATCGCGACACCACCAGCGAAATTGCCCGATGCAGTGGCCATCACAAAGATGCTAACATAGGGATCCCAAACAGCTGCCCTGCCTGCACTACTACCTGTGCTGCTGCCTGTCTGAAAGATCCATTGCTGAACCCCCGAACTGTCAAGCATCAGGACTACCACGTCATAATTTCCTGTACTGCTGGCACCCATAACTCCACTCGTCATACCCGTGACAACGATGTTGCCAGCACTGTCAATGTCCATGCCGCTTGAATACTCAGATCCGCTGGTTCCTGCTTGGAAAGACCACTGATCACTCCCTGCGTGATTCAGCTTCCAAACAAACAAGTCTGAGCCGCCAGCATTATAATTGCCTTGAAAGGAGCCATAGCTGTCGCCCACCACCACAATGTTCCCTGAAGCATCCATTGCCAAGTTCCAAGCGAAGTCATAAGCAGGTCCTCCGGAAAGTACCGTCCATTGATTGACCCCGTCGGAGCTGAGTTTCATCACAAAGGCATCCACCTCCCCAGCACTCACCTGGCTGTGTAAATCACCTGCCGCCCAGCCAGCCACAAAAATGTTACCCCAAAGATCCACCTGAACTCCAGTGCCTTCCTGCTGGCTATCCGTCCCAGTCTGGTAGGTCCACTGCAAAGTTTTGAAACGGTCAATTTTCATCACGAAGATGTCCGTCTGGCCGCTGTGGCTCTGCCCATTCAGGCTCCCGGAAGTAGCACCCGTGAGGACAATGCTGTTGAAGCTATCGACAGCCAGCCCATACAACTGGTCATTCCCGTCGCTTCCTGTTTGATAAGCCCACAGCTGACTCCCATCTTCACTCAGTTTCATAGTAAAGACGTCCCAATAGCCAGCATTGGAGCCCGAAAAACTTCCCTTGGTATATCCTGCCAGAATCACATTCCCACAGGAGTCCAGGACCGCACCAAGAAGGACATCGTCAACAGAAGTTCCAGTCTGAAAGGTCCAGGACACCTGCCCCCAGTGGAGAAGGAACCAGCTTTATCAGAAGATGTTTGTTAAATCTCCTGGGAAGTAGCTTGTGATATTTTCGCAGGAACAACTTTGATCAGAAGCATCAACACGAATAAAACCATCAACACAATGCGACTTCACTGACGGTCTGGGAACCGGCGAAACAGCTATACAACGGCTACTCCAAGGAACAAGTGGAAAGCAGGTGGAAACCAGACGTAGATGTGAAACAATAGAAGACAACTCTCTTGAATAGCATGCAAATCTCCTGGAAAGTACTAAAGACACAAGGCGCCAGCCGTAGTACAAGCTTGGCACAGTGCCACAGGCACTGCAAGGCCAAACAGGCAAAAGATCAAGTGCGAATGCAACCATCAAACTTCAGAACAAAGCAACTGAAAGGTTAAAAAACAGACCTATTGGATCACTGGGAAAGTTCCTGGATATCAGGATTGCTTGGATGTTCTCATGTTCCGTTCATGTCCCTCTGCCTACACAAACGCATTCCCCAAGCCTGACCACTGGTAGATGGTGCAGGATCCGGAACTCGCAGCACCTGGGTAACTGCGGCAACGATGAACAAGTGAACAAGTCAAAGAAACCAAATTAGGTTCTAAAATGATTCAGAAGTATTCAGAATCTTAGTCAGTCTCCACACTGTCGTAAGTGGACTGGGATGATGTATTGCAGCATGTCGCCCCAGGTCCACGGACAGGCACAATGGCCTTAAAAGGAATTTGAAAAGAGCTGGTTCGGTCATGACATGAGTACATAGAAACCAGCAAAAAGATAGAAAAGTAAATTTCCAGAAATTTAACTTCTCTATGCTTTTCTATCTTTTTGAGGTTGCTAGAAATCAAAGCCGCCTTCATCACGAAAATATCGTCGCTGCCAGCATGGGCATTGCCGTTTAATCCACCGCCTCACCGATGATTGCAACAACCGCAACAACAATGATGAAATGACTTGGGATTTGGGATAGTGCAACCTAAAATTATGATTTATCCAGAAAAATGTTTGGCAATGACCTATGGCTTGGATCAGCTATGGGTCACAATCTAAGATGACTAATCAGCTGTGTCAGACATTCATCCAAGTAGTCCAAGTCGTCCAAGTCGTCCAAGGACCCCTGCCTGTGGTACCCGCCAAGATGACGTTGTTCGACACATCCAATTGCACAGCGTGTGCAATATCTCCTGCAGTGGTCCCCGCGACGAATTTCCATTGAAGTGACCCTGTGCTGTCAAGCTCCACTGCCAAGATGTCTTCGCCTTGGTGAAATGACGTGTGGCTTTGATCCCACAGCAGCCTCAAGGAAGTCATGTGCACGATGTGAAGGGAAAAAATGAAAAGATTATCTTCAGAAAATATGACCAGTTCATTCCTTGCATGTTTTTTGTCATTTCTGCAGATTGGTCACTGCCACCCAACCCATTCTTGATGGAACCTGCTAAAAGAATGCGGCCTGAAGGTATGATCTGAAGACTTCCAGCCCACTCCTCCCTTGCAGTTCCAGTCTGAAAGGTCCACTCCCAGGACCCTTGGGCATCCACTTTCATGGCAAAGAGATCCACTGAGCCAGCATTGCTGTTGCCATCCAAGCTACCAGCAGTCCAACCTGCCAGGACCAAATCTCCATAGGAATCGAATTCCAAGGCTGTTGCAATGTCATCTGCGCTGCTGCCCCTTTGAAAGATCCACGCCAGCGACCCTGCGCTGTTGAGTTTTATTGCAAGGATGTCCTGATGTTGACCAAAACATATTGCCAAAACACATTTTTTTCGTGCATTGAAGAGCCTTGGGAAGACAGCCGGCAAGCGCAAACACTAGGGGGGGTTTATTGACCATTACTTACTGTACATACAGTGAGCGCCCATATGTTCACCTCATAAACAGACGCAAACGCAAACCCTGATCCTTGGATCCAGCACCTGCCCCAAAGTCACCAGTGGTGTAGCCTGCTAAACCCAGGTCCCCAGAAGCATCGATGCGGAGTACCGTTGCGACATCCTTCCCGTTGCTGCCAATTTGAAAAGTCCATTGATGTGACCCCGCACTGTCCAGCTGCATCACAAAAATGTCAGTATCACCAGCACTCGACCCTTGCATGGATCCATCGGTAGAGCCTGCCAGCAAAATGTTGCCAGAAGCATCGGTCTCAACAGCAAAGGCATAGTCTGCCGATGCGGTGCCAGTCTGGTAGGTCCACTGCTGAGAGCCCGTGTCATCCAGTTTCATGACAAAGATGTCAAAACTTCCAGCAGAAGCTCCACTGAGGTCGCCTGGGAAAGCCAACTGTTTTTGGGCCAGTCTAATGATGGAAGAAACTCTGCAACCGGGGAAATTCCTCAAGTAGTTGCTGGAACAGGCAGAATATCTACACGATTCTATACACATACATTTTTCCCCACCTGCCAGGTGAGGGTCTCTAGATTTTATCAGAAGTACTTTCTCCTTCCTTCCTTCTTCCTTTTTCTTCCTTTTTCTTCCTTCTTCTTCCTTCTTCTTCCTTCTTCTTCCTTCTTCTCCTCCGGCAGCCTCGGATCGCAACTGCGAGCTCCAGAGCTCAGTGGGCACTGCCGGACGGGTAGACACTGGGAAAAAAAAAAAAATTGACTACTGGAAAGAAAATTAAGGTTCACCCCTACTCTCCACACTAGAAAAAAAACAAGACACTGGAAAAAGTTTGAGAATCTGTACTTTGAACCTCTTTGCAGCTGAAATCTCTTATTTGTACCATATGTGCAGGGTTTGGGCACTTAAACATGCAATTGCATGATATTTAAAGCGTGTTGGCCTTGAATAATTCAATTTTATATGCAGCTGAAATCTCTTATTTGTACAATATTTGCAGGGTTTTGGAACTTAATTATGCAATTTGCATGGTATTTAAAGCGTTTTGGCCTTGAATCCCTTGTTTGCACCGTGCTCGCAGCATCTTGGAGCCAGCATCTGTACTACACAGAGGATTATCTGCAGCATTTGCAACATATAGTCTAGAGTTAGATTTTGGACCAATTTCAGGTTGGTTAGGGTGTATTGGGGAGATCAAAGGATGAGAAGGGTAAAGGACCAGGATGAGGAGGGTAAGGGACCAGGGGATCAAGGGGACCCAGGGACCAAGGGACCAGGGCACCAAGGGATCAGGGGAACCTTAAATTATTTTTCCAGTAAATTATATTTTTTCCAGGGTCTTAGATTTTTCCCGCATGCGTAGCGAAGGGGCCCCGTTTATAGTTGGGGGTCTGGGGGTTGGACCTTTGTTCGCCGCCAGTTGGTCAGCGCGTCGTTTTTCGCGTCGTTTTCGCGTCGTTTTTCGCGTCGTTTTTCGCGTCGTTTTTCGCGTCGTTAATTCGGTGTCTATAGGGAAGCTGCAAAACCTCGTGTCTTTTGCTGCGTCGATGTCGCAGTGTCTATAAGGGAAGCTGCAAAACCTCGTGTCTTTTGCTACGTAGATGTCGCAGTGTCTATAGGGGAAGCTGCAAAACCTCGTGTTTTTTGCTGCGTCGATGTCGCAGTGTCTATAGGGGAAGCTGCAACACCTCGTGTCTTTTGTTACGTGGATGTCGCCGTGTTTATAAGGGAAGCTGCAAAACCTCGTGTCTTTTGCTACGTGGATGTCGCCGTGTCTATAGGGGAAGCTGCAAAACCTCGTGTCTTTTGCTCCGTGGATGTCGCAGTGTCTATAGGGGAAGCTGCAACACCTCGTGTTTTTTGCTACGTGGATGTCGCAGTGTCTATAGGGGAAGCTGCAAAACCTCGTGTTTTTTGCTACGTGGATGTAGCAGTGTCTATAGGGGAAGCTGCAAAACCTCGTGTTTTTTGCTACGTGGATGTCGCCGTGTCTATAGGGGAAGCTGCAAAACCTCGTGTCTTTTGCTCCGTGGATGTCGCAGTGTCTATAGGGGAAGCTGCAACACCTCGTGTCTTTTGATGCGTCGATGTCGCAGTGTCTATAGGGGAAGCTGCAAAACCTCGTGTTTTTTGCTACGTGGATGTAGCAGTGTCTATAGGGGAAGCTGCAAAACCTCGTGTTTTTTGCTACGTGGATGTCGCCGTGTCTATAAGGGAAGCTGCAAAACCTCGTGTCTTTTGCTCCGTGGATGTCGCAGTGTCTATAGGGGAAGCTGCAACACCTCGTGTCTTTTGATGCGTCGATGTCGCAGTGTCTATAGGGGAAGCTGCAAAACCTCGTGTCTTTTGCTGCGTCGATGTCGCAATGTCTATAAGGGAAGCTGCAACACCTCATGTCTTTTGCCTCGTAGATGTCGCAGTGTCTATAGGGGAAGCTGCAACACCTCGTGTCTTTTGCTGCGTCGATGTCGCAGTGTCTATAAGGGAAGCTGCAAAACCTCGTGTCTTTTGCTACGTAGATGTCGCAGTGTCTATAAGGGAAGCTGCAACACCTCGTGTCTTTTGCTGCGTCGATGTCGCAGTGTCTATAGGGGAAGCTGCAAAACCTCGCGTCTTTTGCTACGTGGATGTCGCATTGTTCCCGAATGCGTAGCAAGGGTTCCCGTTTCACTCTGGGGGTCTGGGGGTTGGAGTGTGTTCGCTCGACGTTGCGTCCGCGTCCGCAACCGTCCGCAACCGTTCGCAACCGTCCGCAACCGTCCGCAACCGTCCGCAACCGTCCGCAACCGTCCGCGCGAGGACCGTATGGCCGTGCCTATGGGAAGTTCTGCAGAGGTGGTCATTTTTGGAGGTTTCAGACGTGTCGTTGCTTCGTTTCGCGTGGCAGGCGTGGCACTTCGTGACATTCAGACGTGTTCTGGAACGTGTCGAAAGTCGTTTTGCGTGGCAGGCGCAATACTTTTGCGACGTTTTCAGAAGATGTGTTGCAGTTTTCGTGGCAGGCGCAGCACTTTGGACGTGTCTATCGTCATTTTTCGTGGCAGGCGCAGCACTTTAGACGTGTCATGTTGCGTGTTGTTTGCAAATCGCATTGGCAGGGCTGCGTCAAGTGGCGACAAGGTGCAAATTCCGTGGCAGGCGTGGCATTTTCTGCGATGCGTTGAAAATGGACGGAAGCCTCGCACGAAAGATCGATTTTGGGGTTGCCAATTTTCACGTTCTAAGGAAAACTCGTAGGAAAACGTCGATTTTGAAGCTGCAAAGTGTGAAAATTGGAGGAAGTCTCGCACGAAATGCTCGTTTTGGTGCTCCCACGTGTCTCGTCTCGAGTCTCTGGTTTCCCTGTGGCCTCGCCGTGTCTATGGGGGAAGCTGGAAAACATGTTCTTGCGGCATGTTTCAAACTATGAAAATTGGAGGAAGTCTCGTACGAAATGCTGATTTTTCTGCATCCACGTGTCTTGTCTCGAGTCTCTGGTTTTCCTGTGGCTTCGCCGTGTCTATGGGGGAAGCCGCAAAACCTCTCCTTTTCGAAGGTTTCCAAGCAGCTTGTCATGTCGTTTTGCGTGGCAGGCGTGGCACTTTGTGACATTCCAACGTGTTTGATAACGTGTCGAAAATGTCAAAATTGGAGGAAGTCTCGTACGAAATGCTCGTTTTTCTGCATCCACGTGTCTTGTCTCGAGTCTCTGGTTTTCCTGTGGCTTCGCCGTGTCTATGGGGGAAGCCGCAAAACCTCTCCTTTTCGAAGGTTTCCAAGCAGCTTGTCATGTCGTTTTGCGTGGCAGGCGTGGCACTTTGTGACATTCCAACGTGTTTGATAACGTGTCGAAAATGTCAAAATTGGAGGAAGTCTCGTACGAAATGCTCGTTTTTCTGCATCCACGTGTCTTGTCTGTGTGTCTCGTTTTCCTGTGGCGTCGTCGTGTCTATGGGGGAAGCTGCAAAACTTCTCCTTTTCGAATGTTTCCAAGCAGGTTGTCACGTCGTTTTGCGTGGCAGGCGTGGCTCTTTGTGACATTCCAACCTGTTTGAGAACGCGACGAAAATGTTAAAATTGGAGGAAGTCTCGCACGAAATGCTCGTTTTTCCTGCACCCACGTGTCTCGTCTCGAGTCTCTGGTTTTCCTGTGGCTTCGCCGTGTCTATGGGGGAAGCTCCGCACTCCACACTCTACACTTTACACTCCACACTCCACAATCTACACTTTAGACTCCACACTTTACACTTTACACTACACACTTTGCACTTTACACTCCTCACTCCTCACTCGAGACTTTACACTCCACACTCCATACTTTACACTCCACACTCCCCACTCTACACTTTACACTCTACACTTTACACACTACACTCCACACTCCACACTTGACATTTTACACTCCAGACTTTACACTTTACACTCTTCACTCCACACTTTACACTTTACACTCCACACTCCTCACTTTACACTCCACACTCCTCACTTTACACTCCACACTCCACACTTGACATTTTACACTCCAGACTTTACACTTTACACTCTTCACTCCGCAACACTTTACACTCCACACTCCTCACTTTACACTCCACACTCCTCACTTTACACTCCACACTCCACACTTCTCACTTTACACTCCGCACTCCTTCCACTCCACACTCCACACTCCACACTCCACACTTTACACTCCACATTCCACACTCCACACTTTACACTCCACATTCCACACTCCACAATTTACACTTTAGACTCCTGACTCCACACTCCACACTCCACACTACACTATACACTCCACACTCCACACTCCACACTTTACACTCCACACTCCCCACTCTACACTTTACACTCTACACTTTAAACCCTACATTCCACACTTTACACTTTACACACTCCAGACTCCTCACTCCACACTTTCCACTCCACACTCCACACTCCTCACTTTACACTCCACACTCCACACTCTACACTTTACACTCCGCACTCCACACTTTACACTCCACGCTTTACACTTTACACTCCGCACTCCTGACTTTACACTCCACACTCCACACTCCACACTCTACACTTTCCACCCCACACTCCACACTCTACACTTTACACTCCACACTCCACACTCCACACTCCTCACTTTACACTCCACACTCCACACTCTACACTTTACACTCCGCACTCCACACTCCACACTTTACACTCCGCACTCCTCACTCCTCACTTTACACTCCACACCCCACACTCCACACTACACTTTCCACCCCACACTCCACACTCTACAATTTACACTCCTCACTTTACACTCCACACTCCACACTCTACACTTTCCACCCCACACTCCACACTCTACAATTTACACTCCACACTTTACACTCCACACTCCACACTCTACACTTTACACTCCACACTCCACACTTTACACTCCGCACTCCTCACTTTACACTCCACACTCCACTCT